TGTGACAAAATGATGAGACTTGAGCCCCTATTTTTAGTATTATGATTTCTTAGCCACTAAGTTTACTTAGTCATTAATTCGTTCTTATCCAAATCATTTAATTTGTTCTTATTCAGATTATTTAATTCGTTCTTATCCAAATCATTTAATTTGTTCTTATCCAGATTATTTAATTTGTTCTTATCCAGATTATTTAATTCGTTCTTATCCAAATCATTTAATTCGTTCTTATCCAGATTATTTAATTCGTTCTTATCCAAATCATTTAATTCGTTGTTATCCAGATTAATTCGTTTTTATCCAAATCATTTAATTTGAATAAATCTATCAAGTCCTCCTTTTTTTTATATAAACAAAGAATATCAAAATAATAAAAATCATATTGTATATATATCCATGAATTTAAAATTGTTATTATCTTTATATACGAAATATCATCAAACATAAAATGAATATTATTTTACGAACCATCTAAATTGAATAATTGATAACTAACGTCGTAAAATATACTTTATAGGTATTGAAAAACGGGTGTAAGACAAAAATTACTGTTTCACTACTTGAGTTAACCCTTGAATGTATTTAGCCCAAATACATCTTATATGGTTTGAGATTTTACGATCGTTACAATTTTCGTTAAGATTAAATAATCTTATATTTAAAAAATTTATTTTATCGCTTCTTCGATAATTTTATAAAAAGATTTATACAAATATTATATACCCATAATATTTGTCAACATAACACGTATATAATAAATATGTATTTATATAATCCATAATGCGTATGTAGAACAATTATCCTATTCGATGATTTTAATTGTTTGATAAAACAAATATTTGTTATTATTATTATTATTATTATTATTATTATTATCCCTTAAACGTCTATCTCTAACTCACGAGTGTTACACAAGGAGTCTAGAAGATGCACACCAAAGGAGGAAATGATCATTTGTTGAACCAAACACTAAATCTTCTTATTCTTCCTTCAAAACCACCATAAGATTAATAAAATGAGAACAAGAGCGCCAATGAGGATTAGGTTTAGGGTTTCTGGGTTTGAGAGTGATGGAGGTTGAAGATGGGCAACCCTAGCCTCCTCACTTTCCTTTAAATACCCAAAAATTAAGGTTATCACGACACGTGGTCGCCACGTCGTGGCTAATAGGTGCCACGTCGTGGTGATCATTAAATGATCCGTGAATCTTCCAGCATTGCTACGTCGTGGGATTCCTTCTCCACGATATGGTCACTTCCAAAGTTCAAATGCAAATTAGAATTAAATACCTCCAAGAATCTGGGTGTTACACTTTTGTCCCCATAATCAGGTCCTTGTGATTATGGGTTACTCCATACCACTTGAATGTCTTCTTCTGGTATTTTTGTGTTTATAGAGTCATAAAAACGAGTGCTTGAGCACTCTCATCCATCCATGCATGGGTTTTTAGAAAAAGTTAAATTTATAGACTTAGAGTTTGTATTTATGCTCATTATAGCCATGCAAATGGATAAAGTCTGAGACTTTATCCATTAAGACATTCATTTAGATTAGATCTGGAAGTTTGAGAGTTTAGCTTTCTGTATTAAGAGCTTAATAGATTTTTTGGGCAACAGGGGTTCTACGTTGAGCGTAGCCTTCTGTACACTAAGTGTAGCTCTACGTTGAGCGTAGATCATCGTGCTACGTTGAGCGTAAGTCAATTAAGGGTTGACCGTTTACTTTTTGACCGATTTGGCTTTTAGTCAATCATGCTGGGACTTAGTCTTGGAATGAGCAAAATGGTCTTTTGCCCAAAGGAGGTTTAATGGTGAACATAGACCCTTTGAGAGCTAGTTATTACCTTAATGGTTAATTAAGGTTTTATTATGTATATGTTTAGTATGATGAGACTCGGTATCATCAGCTCGAGTGTGAGGGTTATATTGTCTTCAGATTGAAATGATTCTTCTCACTATACTATGTTATTATGTAGGATGCTAGTTGTCTTTGTGATACTTGCATGGAAGACCATGGGGGTAGCCCATGACACTTGAATATAAGACTATGAGAGTAGCCCATGACATTTTAGGAAATACCATGGGGGTAGCCCATGACATTTCAGAAAAAGACCATGCGGGTAGCCCATGTCAAATGTATATATTGTATATGGTATTTTAGGGAACTCACTAAAATTTGTGATTACAATTTATGTTTATAATGTTTTCAGGTACTTCTGGGTGCAAAGAGATTGGCCCAACTAGATCGCACTGCATCCCCTGGAGATTTATTCCCTATTGATTGTTTTTTATTTTATTATGATGTTTTGATAATATTGTTACTTTGATTGTGTTCGGAACAAATGAATGAATGATTTTGATTGATTTAAAATGAAATTTTTACTTAGTATTTTCGGGACGTTATAACGAGAGTCATAAGAGAGATATTATTATGGTGTAGGCTCGATCACATGGTCTTTTATTAAAGTATAATATTGTGTTTGGGAGTTTGAGTGATAGGTAAGTGAGAGTAAGATAAATTAGGTGATGATATTACATGCATTGTTTCAAATAAAGAAATGGGTCCATGACTTAGGTTATGAACAATATTTGCATGAGATTGTGATACACATGGGTATAAATGGATGAGTTCCAATAATTCTATTTTGCTTCCATAACCCCATGGAATACCATCTCCCCACTGTTAAAAGCCACACCACTATCACACCGCCTCATATAATCCCATATAACCTTTTATTTTAACTTTGTTGGTATTTGTACATACACCAATTACCGTTTTGGTTTCGGTCTCTCTATCTTTCAACATATGACCATATATCCACGATCTTTACCATCTCAAAATAAAAACATTGTCACGTACCAAACATCATACAAATCATTTTTGGTGTCATATGTAGCCGTATAATGATACCATACTAGGGAAAAACGATTTTTGAACTCAATGCTCATTTGGGAAAATTATAGGTTCTATAAAAAAACCTATATATTTGACAATTATTTATTTATTTATTTTTAAAATGTCTGACTTTCCCAAAATTTATATTTTTCACGTTTACCATAACCTGCAAACCAAAACGTTTGTTGATTTTATTTAAGAAAAAAACAAAACTTTTGGTTTAAGTCGGTAAGTGTAAAAATCTTATGTTTTCTTTTATGAAATTAACTTTTATTATTTCTGTGAATAACTAAGATTTCTCTTTTATGTATTAATTACTTTTGGTTTAAACCGATAAATGTAAAAATTTTATGTATTTTTTTATGAAATTAACCTTTTATTATTTTAGCATTTGAATGAATAACTAAGATTTATCTTTTATGTAATAATTGTATTTTTTTTATGAGATTTTTTAATATGTGTCCCAATGACACTTATAAATATTATCATAATTAAATATAAAATATATTTATTATAGTAAATATTTTTTTAATTAAAAGTATAAAATACATTAATTATAAAAAAATATTTCCTATAATTAATAGGGATAATGTCATAAAAAGCCTTAAGTTTGGCAGAAAATGTCGATTTTACCCTTCGGTAGATTTTTTGTTCGTTTATACCGCAAACTTGTCATTTTTTTGCCGGTTTTGCCCTTTTTACCTGCAATAGCAGGTTTCCAGGTTACCATGAATTATTTTTTGCGAAAAAACCCTTAAGTTTACAAATATTTTGCAAAAAAACCCTTAAGATTATAAAACATAAAATATAAATATATATTCAAATTTTGATAAAACTAATAATTTTTTTTAAAAATTAAATGTCAAAAGTTTATATCAAAACTAATATAAGTTTTATTGAACTTATATTATGAAACTAAAATTGAAACATATTTTTAGCTTTACATGCGGTAAATTTTATATTGGTTTGATATAAACCTTTTATATTTAAATTTTAAAAAAGTTACATAGTTTTATTAAAATTTGAATATATTTCTTAATTAATACTTCAACTTTTCAAAGCAAAATTAAAAAACGTCTGATAGTTAATAATTAAGTATGCTAAAATAGTTAAACATATGAATAATATGACATCAATTACATTCAATTAATTTTTTAAAAGGAAAAAAAAATATTTTATATTTTAAAATGTTTGTATTTCAGAAATAATAATGTATCATATTTTTTATATGTTAAAATACATAATAATATTATCCATCTTTTTTATAAAAATATTATAAAACATTTTAAACATAAAAATAATAAACATAATCATTTTAAACATATAAAATATAAATATATTTGTCTAATTTATTATATAAATATATTTACTTTTATAAAAAAATATGATAGTTTATTATTTCTAAAATACAAACATTTTAAACATATAAAATATTTTTATTTTCCTTTTTAAAAAATTAATTGAATGTAACTAATGTCATATTATTCATATGTTTAACTGTTTTAACATAGTTAATTATTAGCTAACAGACGTTTTTTTAATGTTTCTTTGAAAAATTTAAGTATTAATTAATAAATATATTCAAATTTTGATAAAACTAGGTAACTTTTTTAAAATTTAAATATAAAACTTTATATCGAACCAATATAAAATTTACCGTACGTAAAGCTAAAAATATGTTTCAGTAGAAAACTTTAGTTTTTTTATCAATTTTGAATATATATTTATAATTTATATGTTTATAATCTTAAGGGTTTTTTTGCAAAATATTTGTAAACTTAAGGGTTTTTTCGCAAAAAAATAATTCATGGTAACCTGGAAACCTGCAATAGCAGGTAAAAAGGGCAAAACCGACAAAAAATGACAAGTTTGCGGTATAAACGAACAAAAAATCTGCCGAAGGGTAAAACCGACATTTTCTGCCAAACTTAAGGCTTTTTATGACATTATCCCTAATTAATATAATTTACATTTGATAACAATCTTTATAATTAATATTTTTCTTATATTTATCCAGGCAAATGTTAGATTTTTTTTTTTTTTTTTGGTTAATCACGAATATGAATGGAGCAAATAGCAAAGCTTTTCCTTATTTCGTTTTCCCCTTTCCAGCCTCGCCTGTATCGGTTTTGAGTCCCAAAAGCATACTCTTTGTAATATAGACTGCTAGCAAAACTACTGTCGATCAAGATCGGAGACTACGGGTACAGATTGGGGAAAAGTGTGTTTCTGTTGTCTGTGAGTGAGAGTTAGCGATGGTGTCGTATATGAGTTTGGTGATGTATGGAGTGGGCGGAATAGTGGTGGCCGGAATGGCATTATTGGTGGTGTTTCAGGAAAAACTAGTCTATGTACCGGTTTTACCTGGTCTCACCAAGTCCTATCCAATCACACCAGCTCGACTACGCATGATTTACGAAGATGTATGGCTTACTTCTTCCGATGGTTTACGCCTTCACTCCTGGTTCATCAAGTTCTCGCCAGATTGCACAGGTCTCTCTCCATGAATGCTTGCTTGTTTCCATTTTCGTTTTAGTTGCGTGTTGATTCTTTCTTAGTTTTCGCAAATTTCGGCTTTCTGGTGAATTAGGGTTCGTTTTCTATTAGTCAGATTATTTCGATATTGAACAATAAAGGAGGATCTGGAATAGATTGCCCTAAGCAGATTGCTAGGTTGGGGTTACGGAAGGAAGTTGATTACCATAGCTGAGTTTTAGGGTTTAGAAGCTCATTACTGAAGAACTCTGATTTGGAATCAGAACTTATTTAGTCCCAAATTTTGACAATCTACGATTCCTTTCGTTGCAATGCGTACATGCATACATGTTTAGAAGATAAAGAAATCTTGTTTCTGCTCTTAGTTCAGTTTGTAGTTTTTGTTCAAAAGTGTTTGCAGTTTTCTGATAAGGGTGAAGTTCACATGTGATTAAGACATTAAGTCCTTCATATTCTTAACCTCGGAACTGAATGCTTACTTTTCTTTGATTTGCAGGCCCAACTATTCTATTCTTCCAAGAAAATGCTGGAAGTATCCTTTTTTTTTTTTTTCATGTACATAAACTATCATTAATACGTCTCACCAATCTCTTAGTTGTTTAACTTGATATTATCTTTTTATTATCCTAAATCTTGATGAATTCAAATGTTTAGTTATTGGAAGACTTGACCAATGAACCACAGATATTGCACATCGCCTTGAGATGGTGCGAATAATGCTACAAAAGTTGCAGTGTAACATCTTCATGCTATCCTACAGAGGGTATTTTGGTCTTTTTTGTTATTGAATTTAAAGTCTCATGTCTTGATCTTGCTCTCATAATTCTAATTTATATCTTGTTGACAACGAATAGATATGGTGCTAGTGATGGCTATCCATCTCAACAAGGAATCATTAGGGATGCTCAGGTTTCCTTCTACCCATAATTAGTTAAATTAATTTTCTTTTTCTTTTTCTTTTTCTTATTTAATTTATTTGAACTGAATCTCATAAATTTCAACTAGGCTGCTCTAGATCATCTCAGCCAGAGGACAGACATTGACACTTCTCAAATAGTTGTATTTGGAAGGTCTCTTGGTGGAGCAGTTGGTGTTGTAGTTACCAAAAATAACCCTGACAAGGTATCTTATCTCCATCATTTTCATCTTTTATTTTTGATATTGAGAAAAAACCGAATATTTTTTTATATGAACTTTCACTATATCACAGGTTGCTGCACTAATACTGGAGAACACATTTACATCAATTCTAGACATGGCTGGTGTTTTGCTACCCTTTTTAAAATGGTTTATCGGTGGAAGCATCTCAAAAGGCCCAAAAATTCTTAACTTTGTTGTCCGTTCTCCCTGGAATACCCTCGATACAGTCGGCGAGGTAAAACTATAATATATTCACATGTTTCATGCATATTTGTAACACTGTTCTCGCCTAAGCACACTTAACTGTGGAGTTCTTATGGGATCTGCTACCCTCACGGCTTTAAAATGTAACATTACATCCCAGGTGCCATGCAAGGCCGGTCTGTCTGTCTGGCATTTGGGATGGGATGTTACAGGTATTATCGAAATGATTGGTTTGACCGTTTGACTTTTGGACACAGGTGAAGCAACCGATTCTTTTTCTTTCTGGACTACGCGATGAGATGGTTCCGCCACTTCACATGCAGATGCTATATGCGAAAGCAGCTGCACGGAACAAACGGGCAACGTTTGTAGACTTCCCTAATGGCATGCACATGGACACCTGGCTGGCTGGTGGTGATCTTTATTGGAAAACTGTCCAATCATTTTTACAAAAAAATGTTATCCAAAACAATGGTATGTCTTCAACTACCTTTATATCTACTATGGAATTGAATTCCATACAATTTTCAACCAAGGAATGGAATCTTGAATTCCAACCGTAAACTAAACTTATGTGGTGGTTGTTTATTTCTTCAGATACAGAAACACGATGACCAAGTTGGATAAAGGTCTGATTGTGATTGCTAGTAAAGAGGGGTTTCATCATTTCAAATCATTTGTTGAGGAAGAATTGTTTTCGGTTTAAGGAATTTTAGATGGTGCTACATGACTTGGATTAGAAATACATCCAACTTTTTTTTTTTTTTTTAATTAATTTTGTTCGAAATGATCTTTTATGCTTTGAAATGTATTTGAATTTGTTTACATCTACAAATACGTGTTTTGGGAGAAAATATGAACATTGTTTTGTCATGTTATATAGTTGATGCAACATGATAAGTTTATGTGTCCCTTACCTCTATGTCTTTGATTGTGTGTGTGTGGAAGAAAGATAGATATTTTACAAGAAACTACATGATATATATACGAGAAAAAGACAAACTAGAAGCTTTTGGAGGTGGTATTCTACAAAATAGCATTATTATTATTATTTTTTTGTGTCTTTTTTTAAAAACTATTAATTTTGCAATGGATTATTTGCTGCGAAATGTTTTTTATATATTGTTCCCACAAAAAAAATTATATTAATTTTTTTATATATACTGTGAAATTTTCTTCCTATACACCGGCATTGTTTTTCATATACTGTGAAATTTGTCATATTTTTGGAAAAATCGTAACTTTCTTTTTATTTTTTTTTGGATATTCAAAAATCATTTTAACACCAAAAATAAGTTTGGTAGTGTGAAATTGACGGTAGAAAATTTCAAATTTCTTTTTGGTGTAAAACCAAAGAAAAGGACAGACTTGTGTTTATGTTTGGCGTGGAATTTATGATTTTGCAAAGGACCTGAAATTAGTGGTTATTTGTGAAAAAAAATAAAAAAATATATTTACTTTATGAATAAACTCCAGTAGGGCTATACAAGGTTGTCAAGATCGGGATCCTACGTAGAATCGTTTTTGGGTTTGCAAGATCGGGATCGGGATCCTAAGATCCCACAAAATAAAATATAATTTTAAATTATAATTTTTAATCATGAAAAATAGTTCAAACATTCAATTTTTCGTTCAAAAGTTATAAAAACTTCAAAATATTAATCATAAATCGCAACACAAAATGATAAATGCTAAATTGGTAAGGGTAAAAGACATAAAGTGGTAAAAAAAACTCATTTGCAAAAAAAAAAATAAAAAAAAAATCAAGGGAGGTAGGATCTCGATCCTACGATTCTACTTACGATCCTACCTGCGATCCTACCCCAAATACGATCTTTTTACGATCTGGATCGTTTTTTATACCTAGGATCGTAGGATCGTACGATCCTACGATCAGGATCGCGATTTTGACAACCATGAGGCTATATATATATATATATATATATATATATTATATATATATATATATATATATATATATATATATATATATATCATACTATATTATAAATGAAACATTTTTCCTTTCACCACATTCATTTGAAACTCTCATGCATTTTTCCTTTCACCATATTCATTTGAAACTCCCATGACTCTTTAATTTCTTTCTAATAATAATTATAAGTTGGCTAAAAAGGTTAAATAAATATCAAACCTAAAGTGTAATCATATATAAACTAAATTTCAATATTAAAATAATATCTTTACTTCTACTTATAAAGTTATGTTTTTTAACTTTTAACATACTATACTTAATTTATTAGTTTTAATATATTGTTGGATGTAAACCATTATCATTTTAAAGATACAATTTTGGATCAATTTTCATAAAATATTTAAATTATTATTTAATATAAATTAACATTACTGGACAACTTAAATATAATTTTGGTTAACTGAAAGAATCTAAAAAATATTTTATTAATAGTTAAAAGTGATAAATTGTAGTGTTTTTATAATAATGATTATAAGTTGGTTAATAACGTTAAATAAATATCAAACCTAAAGTGTAATAATAAATAAACTAAATTTCAATTTTAAAATAATATTTTTACTTCTATTATAAAGTTATGTCTTTAACTTTTAACATATTATTACTTAATTTATTAGATTTAAAATTTTGTTGTATATAAACCATTATCAGTTTAAAACTACAACTTTTGAACAGTTTGGAAAAAATACTTAAACTGTTAATTTAAATATAACATTACATTTTCATCTTAAATATAAATTTCAGTTCCACTTAAAAACCAAAGAATATTATGTAAATAGTTAAAAGTGATAAATTGTAGTGATAAATGCAAAAACTAAATTGTAATCTCTACTTAACTAAAATATTTGCTAAAGATATTTTTATAATTGTTAAAAGTTTTCAAATAAGTAGCTTAAAATAACTTACAATAACAATAGTTAAAAAACGACTCTATATAAATGATTATATTGTTAACTTTAAAATCAAAAAACAATGTTTGATGTTTTAAATAATTATAATGATATAAATTAAAAAATTAAGCAAATAAATTTAAAAAAATTAATTAACAATAACAACTATAAATAACATTAAACTATATATTATATTTAATTTTATTCATGTGTAACTCGCGGGTAGAAGTCATTCAAACGATTGAGATTATGCAGTTATAATAGATGTATATATTATCATATAATTCAAAATAATCAATATACTATATCAATTTAGTATATGAATTATTATATCAAATTTAACAACAACGTTATTGTTGTATTTAAAAACAAAAACATATATTTGTAAAGACTTCAACTATATAGGTGTTTCTGCGCAACGCGCGGGCATTCGCCTACTATATATATATATATATATATATATATATATATATATATATTATATATATATATATATATATTTATATACAAAAAGCTTTTTGGTTGAGGTGACTTCGTGCTTTACACGCATAGGTAATTTTTGGCGCGTCTGGATTACTCAATTTTCTTCTTGTGCGCGTAGGATTGGAGATTTCAGAAAGAAAAAGGCAAGATTCTTCCAGGTGAGTCATCTGTGTTTCTTGAAGACACGTAGCACGTTTGATGAATTTAGAGAAGAGCAGATGGCGTCAACATGCCCTGGTTCTGGACACTCTCCTTTCTTTTTCTTTTCCACGTTTTATCTCCACCGCTTTCAATGTTTTCCCAACTCCCAATACACCACCGCACCCTCCCAAAGACATTAAATCATCGTCTAGGTATTATCATTTGGAAGTCCAATTTTTGGGTTTTCTCTGCTTTTCACCACTCCATCGAAGGGTTGAAGACGAAGAGAAGAGCGACTCCTATTCAAACAGGTCTGGTTTCTATCGCAGTGTCACCGCCACTCCATCCCTCTTCTCTTTTTCTTTCCTGTTTCACCAAATCCCCAACTAGAGAGACGATGTTCAAGATCTTCCGCCCTTAATTGGAGGTGCGACTGTAAGCACAACCAGCGCATTCTCTCTCTCTCTCTCTCACCACACACACACACACATACACACCATGAAATCATACATTCACCACCATCTGCTTCCGTCTTGAAGGTTTCGTTCTTCTATTGTGACTGGACAAGGGTTGTCATTCTTCCAATTTTAAGGTTGTCTTACCTTCTGGATATGACTTTATATATGTAAATCCCATTGGACACCCACTGAGTAAGTTTCTCAAAGTTACGTATGTTAAATTCTTAACCTTTAACCGATTAATTTGTTTTTTTGGGGATTTTGATTTCAGGATCATCTAATTCTCTACGGAATAGAGTTGGGAGTTGCTCAAATAAGGTTGTCTAAGCATATTCCTTCAAAGGTCAAGTAATCTATTCTCTTATCTTCAAATTAACTTTTGGTAATTAAAATTTGAATGTTTGTGTATATTTCAGTCGTTGATTCTGTGATACTTTTCTCTACAGAACTGTTCTTTGGGTAAAAAGTTATCATAATTTGTTAACCCTAGCTTTTGAATGTAATGTGTAGTTTACTTGTTATTTTTCTATGATACTTTCTGATGTCTGGATAACCCAATCCACCAAACGCATTCACAATAAGGAAATTCAAGAGGCACAATAGTGGTGACTTTTGATCAAAACCCCAACCAAGGCATATCTTTTACATAGGATGGAAATAAAATACTATAAGCTATTAATCGTTTGGAAGAACGTGGTATATATAAGTAATGTCAGAGTCTATAAGCAATTTTAAATGTGACCGAAATAAAACAATTGTTTTTTTTTTTAAGTAAAACGTTCTTGACCAGAAGCAAGCATTGTTTAGATTTTTTTTTTATTATTATTTTATTTTTTTGTAAAGTTCTAGCATGCTTGATATTTGCTCATTTAGAAATGCCTTTGTTTGGTTGATATATATTTTGATTTCCTGATCCATCTATAGTTTGGAAACGAAGTTACCACTTCCTGGATGTGATCATTACAAGTAATTTTAATTAGGTTCAAGAAACAACAAGAGAAATGCCAATCAACCGTTGAGAGCATTCCAGGTTCTAAATTAACCATTAAGAAAACAATTCTTGTTCCTAGAATCGTGCATGCAAACATCTCGACCAAATTACCTGAATTGGAACTAACTTTGTTGCTTTGCGTTTCATTTTGTTAAGGGTACTGACTATGGAATTTGGTTCTATAAAGAGGTGTAAATAGATAAACAGAAGACAAGTGGTAACTCATCCCCTTTATCTATGACAAAAAAATAAAAAATATATGCCTCATCGTATTTATTATAGACTATTGGCATATTGAATGTGTGTTGACATTGTTTTAATCTAAAAACATTTTGGTTAAACTGTATATTGTATGGTGTCATATTGCTTTTGGAAGATTCAATGACTTCAGATATTGTGTTGTTGGTTCAGGACGTTATAATTTACTTCAAATAAGCTTAATTTGAGAATCTCGGTGTCATGAACCTCATTTCTTCACATTGCTTTTCCAAAATTTCGTAATCTTTAGCCAGTATTGGAATGCTGAATTTGTTTTTCATGTATAGTTGGTTCTCTTGCAGGTATCTGATATTTTGTCAGATCCATCCTTTAAAATCCTCTCAGATGTTATAAGTGATGGGGCAATTATGAAAGTTTTAGGTGTGCCTTCAGGTACCAGATCCTTTTCCTATACTGCCCTAAAGTTGGGTGATGTTTTTCGATAGCAAACATTTTCTACTTTACTAAAACCATTTATATGGTGCGGTCAATTACATAATAATAGAATATTTCTACATCGGTTTAACGGTGATTAATCAAAGAAGTAAGTATTTTAGTGATATCACAGTTTGATCAACTAAGAGTTGTATGCCTCCAAGAAGCTATTAATCGAGCTATTCATAAAAGAAAACA